ACTTGCTCCAGCTCCTCGATCGTCGACTTGGTGGCATCGGAATTGTCAGGGGTGATGAACGCCTTCCATAATCATCATCCTCGTCTGCCTCTTGCTTCTCCGTTAGGCCAGGGCCGGTGTCGGTGATTGCTATTTAGTTTCTTCCTTCCTAACTAACTCAGGGTTCTTTGATGTCAAGAGTGCGAACATCGGGATCACCTCATCGACCGCGAATATTTCTTTTGTGGCCGGCTGCTCTTCGTAAACTATCTTCATCCCTCCCTGTGGGGAACCTCCATGCCTAGTGTAGTGTAGAGGGTATTGCCCACATGTTGTGAATCCATGTCCTTCCGAATAGAGCATTATATCTCATATCGTCTTCGATCACGTAGAACTTCATTTCCTAAATAGTTCTGGCGGTATTCACTGGTAGGGTTATCTTCCATTTAGTAGTTTCACATACCATGTTAAATCCATTTAAGACCCGAACTGCAGGCATTATTTGGTCTTGTAGACCCAGCTGCTCTACGACCCTCGATTTGATAATATTGGCTGAGCTACCTGGATCAATAAACACATGCTTACCTCGAGATTTATTTATGAATACAGAAATTACCAGTGCATCGTTATGCGGTTGCATGATGCGTACAACATCTTCATTGTTGAAAGAGATGGTCCCCTCCGGTATGTAATCTCGGGTTCGTTTTTCTTTTGCAATGGATACATTAGTGCGCTTTAGCATTGGCCCCTGGGGAATGTCGATTCCACCAATGATCATGTTGATGACGTGCTGAGGTTCCTCTTGCTCGGTCTGTTTGTTGGAGTCCCTATTCCCGAAGTGATTTTTGGCTCGACCACTCAGAAATTCCCGAAGGTGCCTGATATTGAATAACCGAGCCGTGATTGCACAGATACTTACACATCAGGTGTGGGTCTCTTTGGGCAGGATCAGACTGCAATGACCGAGGCCACTTAGTATCTTTGATACGTCCAATGGCAGATACGATACCGGCAGCATCAACGCTAAAGTTGTATTCTGATAACCTCGGTGCCTCCCTAGCCCCGAGTGGCCTATCGAAACAGTTTTTGGTCATGAGTCCCCAGCTATTATGACCTAGATCATTTTTTTTTTCATTCCTCGCAGGGTTACGTCCGGATCTGCTGCCTCTTCGATCTCCAATATACAATTGATATCGATCTCTGTTTAGTCTTGGTTCATGATAGATGACTCTTTTAGACCTATCATTAGTTCTGATGGGATACACAGACCCAAAGGGGGCGCTGAGTTGATCATCCTCGACTCTAATTTTTGATTGGTACCTGTTATGAACGTCAGCCCAAGTTACCGCCGGGTACTCTATCAAATTCTGTTTCAACCACTATGAAGCCAAGGATCTTTGGGGTTTTTTTCCTTAAGTGAATGCTTGAATAACCCAATCGTCCGCAATCGGGGGCAGGATAATTCTTTCCATTTAAAACCTCAACATGAATTCCCTGAGCATTTTGTTATCTCTTTGTTTCAATTTAAAGAGCTCCGATTTTCTGGTCTCGACTTTGACGGCCCCGACATGAGCTTTTACGAAGCTATCTACAAGCATAGCTAATGAATCAATAGAATTAGGGGGCAGGTTGTGATACCATATCATTGCTCCTTTAGACAGGGTTTCTCTGAACTTTTTCAGCAGAAACCGACTCGATTTTGTCATCTTCTAAGTCATTTCCCTTGATGGCACACGTGTAGGAGGTCACATGTTCATTTGGATCTGTGGTCCCGTTATACTTTGGAATTTCGGAAATGCGGAACTTCTTTGGGATTGGTTTCGGAGCTGCGCTCGGAGGGAAAGGCTTTTGGATAAATTTATTGGAATCCAGGCTTTTCAATATCGGGGATGCTCCTGGGATTTCATCAACCCTAGAGTTATAGGTCTTCATTTTTTTGTCATTGGCTTCAATTTTCTTTTCTCCCGATTGCACCCGCTTTGTCATCTCCCCAAGCATCTTTATTATTTTGGGGTTGGTCCCTAGTTTAACTTCACCTGGCCTTTCTGTGGCTGGTTCATTTATGCGGGTGTTTTCCCTAGATGGTTCAGGCTCAACTCTGCTAGGGGCGCGACTTTGATCTGCAACTGGACTATCGCCGCCTGTTGAGCTTGTAACATTTCGAAGATCACTCGTAAATTGATCTCATCACCTTCGCCGTCGTGTGTACCCTGGGCATTGATCGGGCTCCCCCGCAAACGCTGTTTTCGGGGTTGATAGGCAAGTTTGCATCGGTGACCACATGTGAGTTGACATCGATTAGGTCTGCAACCGGAACTTTGTTAGGTTAACAGGAGGCACCTTGTTGCTGGGCACTACATTGTTGTTCTCGCTATGGTGGCCATACTCAGCATCAACGTTCAAATGAGCAGATTGAGAGTTCGACATTTTTAATTTGATTATATTTAGTAGTTTTTAATTTGTCTCACATTATTTATCACATAATTAAATTAATTTGTTGCAAATACTAAATGAAGTAAAATTGCTCTTTAAAAAATTACTCATTAATGTTAAAAAATGAGTTTGTTCACCATAAATACAATTTGACTACCGGTAAAATTTTACTTTCCAAATGCTATGTAAAAACTACTTCAAACGAACTCTTTAAATTTTGTATTAATATTCCAAATAATTGACTTTTTAAACCTATATTTAAGGTACAATTTTAAAGTCCTAAATTTTAGGTACCTAGTTTAAATATAACCAATTTTCAACGAATTTATAGGCGCTAAATATTAGGAAAATAATTAAATGACTATTTTATCAAGTGTAAACCTTATTTTTAAAGGGTAAAAAAGGCGACCGATATTTCACGAAGGGGTTTCATCCTTTTAACATAATATATAAATGTACAAATTTATTTTGCTTTTCTAAGTAATACAAATTTCAAATTGAACATTTACTGTGTTTTTTCGTAATTTAATACTTAAAAGTATCTTTTTAAAAGATTCGCCAAACACAATGAGTTTGCAAAAAACAGTACTCAAACGAATTGGCCAAACACAAATTGCTATTTTGCAAAAGTACTTTTTCGAATAAGTAATTTTTGACAATTTAGTCAAACGGACTCTAATCTTGATTAATCGGGCCATTAAATTTCTAATACGAGATAGCCAAAAGAAAGAAAAAGAACTCCTACCAAATATAGCCAGACGATACCAATATTCTGAATCCGCTAGTAATAAGTTCACTTATTGGAACACTTGTAGACATTGGAATCCTAAGCAATAACTTCTGGGACATAGGTGGAGTCGATTGAACTTGGAAGCGGTGCATCATTGCACTTACAATTTCTATGTAATTACAACTTTAGATTTGGTACAGATATATAACTTTTTAATATTTTCAATAACATATATATAATCCAAAGAAAAAGGAATGTATGTGCCTAGGGATGTCAAATAGGCAGGTTGGGCTGATTTTGGATGAGTTAAAATAGATTGAGTCAATAATTGGGCTGGTCAAATAACTCGCTCAAAAGTTACTTAGGCTAAGATGTATTGGGTCAAGATGCGCTAAAATTTGGGTTATAGCCCAACCCGTCCAACTCTTATCAAGTTTTACTTAATAGGGGGAAATGCACGATTAGTCACTAATAACACATGTATTTGCTTTTAAGCATTATTTAGAATGTCTTTAGTCTTTAGTCACTGCTTTAATAAACTTTAACTGCCCGGACGAAAATACCCTTCTGCTCATGTCCTTAACTTTTGAACTTAATTTCAGGACTTAAGAACTACATGTCCTTAACTTTTGAACTTGTAACTCTAAGTTCAGGACTTCAGGACTACATGTCCTTAATTTTAGGACTTCAGGACTACATGTTCTTAACTTTTGAACTTAACTTCAGGACTTCAGTACTACATGTCTTTAACTTTTCAACTTAACTTCAGGACTTCAGGACTACATGTCTTTAACTTTTCAACTTAACTTCAGGACTAGATGTCCTTAACTTTTGAACTTGTAACTGTAAGTTCAGGACCAAGTGTCCTTAACTTTTGAGCTTGTTAGTCTAAGTTCAAGACCTATTTTCCTTAACTTTTGGGCTCCTTAGCCTAAGTTCAGGACCTATTGTCCTTAACTTTTGAGCTCGTTAGTCTAAGTTCAGGACTTTAGGACCTATTGTCCTTAACTTTTGAACTTGTAACTGTAAGTTCAAGACCTATTATCCTTAACTTTTGAGCTTGTTAATCTAAGTTCAGGACCAAGTGTCCTTAACTTTTGAACTTGGAGCTCGAAGTTCATGACCAAGTATTCTTAACTTTTGAACTTGTAAATGTAAGTTCATGATCCATAACGTAGCAGAAAACCAAAAATACATCACATAAATCACAAACCGAAATACATCTACCGCCATAATTGCATACGATCAAAGATCACGACTAGTTTAATTAGCACACCACTGAAGCTCACAAACCAGAACCAACACAAATTAAAAAGAAGGAAAGAACAACGAAATGAAGAGGACGTGCCAAGAAACGAGCACCTCTGCTACTAGATCCACAACTTCTACTGAAAGCAAGGTGGAAACAGAAAGTACTAAAATCTTTGCTGGTCTTCTGACCGAGTAGAGAACCTAAACTATCTTCGTTAGAGGAGAGACATGCATTGTTGGAGATAGAAGAAATGGTAACACAGTCTTTTCATATTAATTTTAATAGACTAGTGGCTACTATTGCTAAGCATTAAAAATGTTGGATAAAAAGTAAATACCACTTTAAAAAGTGGCTATCCCACAAAATTTTTACTACTTAATATGTGTTGTTTTCTTATGAATTGTATTACTCAATAATTTTTTTTGTTAGGTTCATATATAATATATCAAACAAGAAAAAACTTAAGATATTTTAGCAAAGTTACTTATGGTCAATATGGGCTAAAAATCAATCCAACTTGGATTGGGTGAGTTCAACAAACGGAAAAGGTCCTAATATATCCATTTACTGTTGGATCAAAAGAACTCGCCGTCTTACTGTTCAAATACATATACCCCTAGCTTGAAGGACTTTTGGCACGCATTCAAAGCTGTCGATCCATTTGGTCTTAAATTAGACCCGATCCGCCCTCTTACTCGGTACCCAAAAGAGATTGAGTTCAGATAAGCATTTTAATTTATCGCTCTTTCTCTATTTCTCATTCATTAGAAAAGAACTTTAATGCATTTGGTATAATGGAGTAAAGCTTAAACCTTTTTGAAATGGTACTTCAGTGTCTTGATTTGAAGAATTGGAAAGCTTCATCTCCATTGGCGGGGTTCGAAGCTCATTTCCAAGTCTGGGTTCGAATGGGTCCTTTGGTTCAATGACTGATTGGGGATTTACATTATTGAAATTTGATTTTGTATTATTTGTTATGCTTAGGTCTAAATTATACTGCTGTTTGTTGGAAGAAGTTGATGGTAAAAGTCGAAACTCACCATTTATGACATATCGAAGCTTTGGGTTTGAATCAAAATCTAAAAAAGAAGTTGAAAAATATTGGTTAAATTTTCATTTATTATTACTGATTTGAGTCTTTAATTGTGAGTACAACACTAAAATATTGATTTGCTGAAGAAATTTGCAAACACCATTATAAGAATTTTGAGAAATTTGAAGAAGACAAAATGGGTCTCTCTGATTTCTTGACCCAATTTTATTCACATTCTACTAACATTCTTCTTCTTTCAAATTCTTCCGTCCTCGACCCAATTCTTGAGCTGGGCTACATTCACTGGAATGTAAAGAAAAAAAATCAATATTTTTTCTACAATCAAGAAGAAATTGAAGATTTTCTCTTCAGTCACAGCAATTTTTTTGCACGGATTTTTGAAAGGACTTAAATCAGATGAAGCAACTTTAATACTTACAATTGATTTGCCACATATTATGACAATTCCTACCTTCAAAGGAGAGATTGTGCTTCCTCCTAAGTAGAAGAAGTTACTATTCGGCTTATATAATTTTTCCTCAATTTGTATGAAATTATTGAAAGAATTAGAGGGTTTCTATCCAGTTGTTTGTATTTTAATGGTTTAACATATGAACTCAATCTATGATTCAAAAAGAAGTATAAAAATTGGGTCTTTGTTCTTGAAATTGTAATGTTGGATTTTGACGGTAATTGCTGTGTTTATTTGACTCATTAGTTGTGTGAGTTGTTGCAACATTTAATTTAAAGAACAATTTGTATTTTTTAACAATGGTGCATCAAGTTTAATTATTTTTTCAACATTTAATGAAACGAGTCATCTGCATTTGGCGGGTCAAATTTAATGGATCGGGTTCCGGGTAATAGGTGAGTCGGGTCTAATTTAAAATCAAATGGACCAACAACCTTGAATGCGTGCCAAGTGTCCGGTCCGTCAAATTAGAAGTATATATGTTTGAATACTAAGACGACATGAGGTTCTTTTGATCCAATAGTATAACGAAGCGTAATTTTAAATAATTTTTGATAGTAAAGGAATATATCATGACTTTTTCCATTCAATAGATGGAGGTCAATAACCAGCCAAACCTTGGGCGAGTTGGGCAGATCATTTGGAAGTGGGCCAAATTTTACAATCATAGATGTGCCTGAACCCAGGATCAAAAAATTAAATCAGCGATATCAACAAGTACCGAGAGTCTCCTGGAAACAACCTCTCTGCCCCTCGGAGTAGAGGTAAGGTCTGCGTACATATTACCCTTCACAGACCCCACTTGTGAGATTATACTGGGTGTTGTTGTTGTTGATATCAACAAGTAATTATCAAAAAATAAGGAATAACATAAATGAGTTACTAGATGTTATTATAATTGTAATATTTGGATCAGCTAGCACGTATTTTAACTAATTTCATGGGATACCTGTAACCTCCCACAAACACATATACTAACAACTTTTTCCACCAAGATTTGATGAGTTACTATCTTTACAAGATCAAATTATTAAATGCCAAATGATTATTATAACAAATTAAAATAGTACCTTAAAAAGGAGACAAATAATTACTGTTGGTAAGAAATTTTGTTGGTATATATATACATATAAAATTAGAAAAAGAAACATATATTAACATTTAAGTGATTTTATTTTGTGCCTCACACAACTTACACTAATTGTGTGAGATCTCTTTTTATCTCATATACTTGTGTATTCATATCTTATATATTTGTGTCCATAAAATTCCGGGACCCACATAATTGTAAGATAAAAAAAAAGGCCTCGCTAAGAAGTGTGAGACATAAAATAAAATTTTTCAACATTTAATAAAGCGGCAAGAAAAAACGATTTCAATACAGTGGTGGGCCAACAACACCCCCGTAAACGTATGTAACTTTGATTCTCAGTCTTATTCCAAACAAACAACCAGTCCGCTGTCTCAATCCATTCTTCTTAGTCTTCCTTACTCTTTCTTAGTACCCTTCATTTGGGAATTAGGGGTCTTATAGAATCTCCATAGATATCTTTAATCCTCTGTATGTAAAGTAAGTTGGCAAATTTTCTGTTCATTTTCTTGAATATTTTTACTTGGCTTTCTAAACAATCTCTTATTATTTTGTGCTTTTAAAGTAATAGTTATAAAGAATGGATGCACCTAGAGGAACAGAAGCAGCATCTACATCAATTTCAGATAATGGTCCTCCTCCTGCTTCTCCTATTACATCACAGGTTAGTGTAGTTTTACACTTTTACTGCTGTGGCTGCTCAGTATAGAGATTCTTTTTTTTTTTCCTCTCTCGTTTTTGTTCAGCTTCAGGTGGTGCTTTTAGTATCTGGATTCATATGTTACCATTGTGCATAAAAGCTTTCTTTTGTAATCAGTTATAGAGTATAAATAAATATGAGTGTGCTCAATATATGTACTCTCTCTGGATGTGTTTGGTATGAAGGAAATTCTGATTTCCCAATGTTTGGTTGGTTTAAATATTTTGGAAAATATTTTTCCCGTGAACTCATATTTTCCAAAACGTTTTCCAAACCTTCTCCCCCTATGCGCCCACCCCCACCCTCCACCTCCTTCCCTGACCCCGGGCATTGCCACCGCCAATCAGGTCCCTAGACCCCGACCTACCACCCTCCCGCCCTTACCCATTTCGTCTCATATTGGTTTGCCTAAATTATATATTTTCCAAAAATATTTTCTGCGACCTAACCAAACACAGGAAAACAAGTAAGAAAACCACTTATTTTCCAAGAAAATATTTTTCAAGGAAATACTTTTAAACGAAAACATTTCCTTCATACCAAATGCACCCTCTATCTCAAATTGTTTGGTACTCACTGTTCTGGAGACCACATCGTGTTTTATTAGACGACCATCTTTTAATAAATTTGATTATTTTTAAATGTAAAAAGTTGATTTCTAGCACTTTTTATGTAGTATCCAAACAAAAGAGCAGCTTGGTGCACAAAGGATCCCGAGTTACGCACCCCAAGGAGGTGTTATGTAGCCAGGCTACCCTGTAGGTCACCCCAAGGATTCCGTAAATGGATGATTTTACGGATCAAACCAGTGACCTGTAGGTCACACAGAGTCAATTTTATTGTTACTCTGAGGCTCCCATTCTATGTAGTTCCCAAATATGTAAATTTATTTAAAAAGGTGAGATGGATGTCCGAATTCAAACAAAAGATTAGATGAGTTGACTCTTCATATCCCTATGCCATTCTTTTCTTGGGATGATAGCTTTTTTAAAGCTTCAGGAAATGCAGGTCTCGGTTTCGAGAGGTAGTGCTTTCCTCATTTTATTTAGGTGCCTACTAATGTATGAAATATGTCCAACTTTTTGGATAATAATTTAATTCTGAAAAATGTTTGAGTTCTTGTTTATGGGGATTAAGATTGTCATTGCAATGGTATTCTATGCTATTTTAGTGATTTTACGTTACCTTATGGCATTTGATAGGGGTATAATTTTTGCTAGAGAAATCTCTAGTGACATTGGAAAGAAGTGCGATTGTAGAACGTAAGCCCTTTTGAAGGCTTTTTTTGTGCTAGGAAGATTATGTGAGAGTGTCCATGCGTAGATATTCTTTGAAGTACACAATGAAGGACATTTTTGCATTAGTTCTGTTTTTACCATTATCTGGCATCTAGATGAAGGATAGTTCTGGTCTGATGGTCAATGATAGATCTAAGAGACTTTTACTTAATAGTACTTTGGCTTTAAACATTGTATAAATTCTTGCAAAGTTCCGAAAAATTTCACAAAAGCCATGATCCAAAAAGTCCTTTCTTCTTCCAACTTTTCGATCTTCCCATTCATCCCCTGTGTGCCCTTCTTCCCCAGTTCTTCCCATTTTTTGGGTTCTATGAGGCCTTGAGCGTCAGTTAAAATGTTTTTTCTACTTTCAAGTGTTATCTGTCTTAAAATTTATGAAAATATTTTCCAAAGGAAAGTGTTTGTACATTACATAAGGAAGTAGGATGATAGTCCCTTTAACAATGCTTCATATAACTTGCTCCTACCACTTACAACTATCACCAAGCATAAAAATACTTCTACTGCTACCAATGGCGGATCTACTTGATAGGTTTGGGTGCTTTAGCACCCATTACATTTGTAGTACTATGCTATTTATTTATATAGAGAAACTAATGATACACACAAATTTATTGTTGAGCACTCATCTCTCTTCGTGAACTTCAAACTAAAAGTAGTTGAGCACCCATAATTTAAATTTTTTGGATCTGCCACTGCATGACGCTAACATTACTCTCAACTAATCCTGAATATGATTTGTAAAAAATGTTGCAGGAAAAATAAAAATGCTTTACATTTGACAAACTGATGCCTCTAATCAGGAGAATATAACATTAGGTAGTTTCTGTCTCACCTGTCCTCCTGAAGATTACCATCAGCTATGTTACTTAGTGTGGAGAAATTAACAAGTGTGCAATTACATAAAGTTAAAAGTTCTGTGGCAATACTACCACATGTAACAAGAAATTCTTTATCTTTTGGGTACACGCAGGCTGATTTTCAGAAAACGGAGTCCTCGAATATGGTTGCCAGTTTGGGCCCAAGCATGAAACGAGCTGATCTTTCCCTTCAAATACCCCCAAAACATACTGGTTTTGGAACTGGAATTGGCAGAAAGTATTCACCCCATTCACCAGGTCCAAGAGGAGGTTTTCTGCGGGCTTTAAGCTTTAAGAAGAAAGTTTCTTCATCTGACGGTGAGAGAAACTCTCTCCTCAGTTCAGATCAAAAGGTAGCTCCAGGAAGCCCTCTTTCAGCAAACTTTATCTCCTCCAATTGGCAAAAATGTACCTCTCTACCTGTGACCCCTGCTTCAAATTCATCTCCATCAGTTTCCACGCCTATTTCTGCTAGGACACATGGCGAACAACAAAAGTCACATGTGAGTTTCTTCTGTTCATTAACAATTATGCACTTTTAATAGTTTCTAATAAATTCAACATTTTCAAACAACTTCGAAAGTTTGATATGTGGTGACACAGAAATAATAGCATTTTATATTCTACTGATTATACTATGCAACAATTTAGGCTATATGCTCAATGTTCTTGCATTTGATTTCGCTAATCAATCTCCTCTCCCCCCAAATAAAAAGAGTCAAATCTAACTTAATTTATGATGCAATTTTTATTTTTATTTTATATATATCTGGTCTGACAAACTTCAACAGGTAATCTAATATTTTGTATACAACATGCCAGTCACGTCAACCTGTTGATCCTTGTGTTAGTCATACTTTTCATACACGCTAAGACAGGAATTAATGCCACAGAAAAAGCAATAATATTTTGGAGGCCGGCCTCAATCTGCTGTATGTTCAAATATCTAATGGCTGAGAAGATCTCCTGTCATTATAAATGTTTAGGAACTCACTTTGAATTGTAATCTAGAGTTAGTCCTCTTTCCTTCCACTCGCTGGAACCTTCTACCAGTTATGAGGCCATTAACATATTAGATGTTTCCTACTTGTAATGATAATAGCTGTTACATCCAATGGTTTCTCTACTTTCCATGTACACTAACTCGAGTCTGTGACTTGTAATTCTGCTTGCAGTCATCACGGATTGGGGAATCCAAAGCTAGCATTTCAAGGTCTCTTTCTGTGCCTGGAAGAAATTTTGTCATTGTTAGATCAATGTCCTTTGCTACCCATGAAGAGCATGTTCCAGATGCTGGAGATGGTAAGTCAAATGTGTTTAAGCAGTGTGCCTGAATCATCAAAAAATAGCGTATCATGTTTAATCAAGTCAAACTAATTATGCAGCTGTATGATGTTAAACTTATCCATATTCTATTGTATTCATCACAAACGTTTAGTGAAACCTTCCAAGTAAATAAGTGATCACTGATACAGCCTTTTTGGCAGTTAAAAGATCAATAATGTAAAGCAACCATTTCTTCACAGACGTGTTACTATCTAATCCAATTCTGGTCTTTACTGGTTTATAAAATAATTTCTGTTATAAGCTGATTAATGAGTCCCATGCATCTGAATCTTCATTCTTCTCCTGAATCAATTGAAAAAAGTGTTTCAAAATTTTTAGTGACTTCCATTTCCTAGTGTATTCGAAAATTCTATAGTAAGCTGTTGAAAATGTTATGATTAATATTTGACTTTTCCTCTGCTTCGACGCTTCAAAAATTGATTAAAATGAACAAAGAAATTACTCCTGCTCCTGAGAATGAGGATAGGGAAATCCCTGAAGAGGAAGCAGTTTGTAGGATATGTCTGGATGCATGTGATGAAGGCAATACGTTCCAAATGGAGTGCAGCTGCAAAGGTGACCTAAGACTTGTTCATGAGGACTGTGCGATCAAGTGGTTTAGCATGAAAGGGAACAAAACTTGTGATGTTTGTCGGCAGGAAGTTTCTAATTTACCTGTGACTTTGCTTCGGGTCTCAAGCACTAATCAACGAGATAACATACAGGAGCACAACAACTCTAGAAGAATAAGGTGAACATCACTTGGAAAATATGATTTCTTTCACACAATTGTGTTACACATTCTAAATTTTTCTTAGTTTTTGCATTGATTGTGCACATTTGCCTTGCGAGATTTGAAGAAGTTCTATCTCCAGTTTCCGTTTGATCCTTCCAATTGGTGCTTCTTCAACATCTGTCTGCATTTAGTATTAAAAAGTAAATTGAACCCTTAGTTGTGAATAGTGGGAAGAAGCTCTAGTACTGGCTGATGGAGCAGTACTCTTGTGAGAATGCACGGGAGAAAAATCTATTTTTTTAACAATGATACAATGAGCATTATATATAATACATATTCTACTCCTACTACATATGGGACTAGGACATATTCTAAACCTATTACATATAGTACTAGAACTATTTACACATAACTATCTAACACTCCCCCTCAAGCTGGTGCATGCAAATCATATGTACTGAGCTTGTTACATATGAAAATATATGCAAGCTGATCATTCGACATACAAGGCCACTAGACTCCCCCTGAGCAACAAAATCAGGTGGTTGCTGATAAACAACAGTTGGTCGAAACGTCGCCAGAAAAAATTAAAAATATAGTGAGACTAAGCCGAATTCCACACTACAAAGTAGGTTCTAAAACACCACTAGAAAACAGAAACTTTTCAGGGAATTACTGTCACGTCTGAAATCACTGTTCATGCCGGAAAAGTGCACTGTTCATGCCGGAAAAAATAAAAATTGTCAAAATTTGACGCAATTTATATGGGTGGGCTTGGAATCACTGGACGAGTAAGTTGTCCCGAAGAAGTTTTGTCAAAAAATGGCCAGAATGGCTCACATGCGCCATAAAAGTTACTGTAGCTCGCAGGAAAATTCCAAAATTCTCGGAATCTGTAGGAAATTGTACTGGTGGACTCGAAATCACCCCAGTTTTAAAGAATTTTTGAAAATTCTGGCGGTGAGACACGCTTGCCGAAACCCTAGTTCCGTTGCCGCGTGGAGGCGCGTGAGGGACTTCTGCCGGAGCGATTGACTGGGGTTTTATCGCCTGACTTTTCCAAACAAGATGGTGTGTTGGTTTTCGCTCAACGCTTACCGATGAGGAGATAATGCAAATCAATCTTGAGTCGTCAACCGGAAAGACGCACGGTGACTGACTGTTCTGTTCCGATGGGACTGAGATTTCTGGGGTTTGGTCGCACAAGGGTTTCGAATTTGATGGTGGTACTGGTATAAGCACAGTACCACTGTAGCAGTGATGAACCTTGGGAACAAGACGAAGTTGCAGGAAAATTGCACGGCGATGAGATCTTTCTTCCCGGACATCGTTGGAATGACACACAACGATAATTTTCTCACTGAAGCTCTGATGCCATGTGAGAATGCACGGGAGAAAAATCTATTTTTTAACAATGATACAATGAGCCATATGTATAATACATATTTTACTCCTACTACATATGGGACTAGGACATATTCTACTCCTACTATATATAGGACAATTTATACATAACTATCTAACAACTCCGTACAATGTTGTTGAGCTAGTTTCTCAGTTACTGTGTCTGTTTTTGGAGTTTAATCAAAATTTGAATTTCTGTCATTGCAGTGCTTGGCAGGATTTTGTGGTGCTTGTTTTGATCAGCACAATATGCTATTTTTTCTTCCTTGAGCAATTACTGGTGAGTACTTTAGCTTCTAAATAGAATTTTAAAAATAAACTGGCTTGAGATTTCAACCCCCTCTTCCCCTAAAAAAAAAACACAACTGTTGGAACATAGAAAGGTAAATTTCCTGTGTATTTCGGAAATATTTATTTATCTGATCCTTGGATACCCCGATTTCCGGTTCAGCTGCTTGTTTATCCAGGACTTGGGTAGGAGTAATTGAATTGGGTCTTTCGGTAGTGTTATAGTACTAAGTGCCACCAGTTACGTTGACCAGGTTCTCATCTGAGCCACCATCCCGTTTCCTTCACCATAAAATCCAGAAAAGCAGGGAAACCATAATGTGGCCCCAGTGGAGGAACTAGGATTTGTTCGAGAGAACAAAGTAGGAGGAACTTATCAGAACAATGGTACAAACTAGCAGTTACTTGGGTAAAAGGCAACAACATGAAATGCTTTCTTGCCCTTTTTCCCTTTTTTTTATTGG